TTATTTGGGCCTCTTTTTTTTTCTTCATAGCTAAAGGTTTACCAATTTTGTTTATGTTTGCAAAGAACTACTCTTAGTTTCATTATTTCTATTGTTTTTGTGGTCTCTATCTTATTTATTTTTGCTCTTTATTCTTTCCTTTCTTCTACTAACCCTGATCTTTGTTCTTTTTTTTCTTTTCTTTTAGGTATAAAGTTAGATTTTTTTTCTTGTTTCTTGAGGTAGGCCTGTATCACTATTCACCTCTCTTTTAAAACTGTGTTTTCTGCATCTCATAGATTTTGGACTCTTTGTTTCCATTTTCATTTGTCTCAAGGATTTTTCTTTGTTTCTTTGATTACTTCATTGACTTACTGGTTTATAATGGTGTCGTTCAGTTTTCACGTTTGTGTTTTGTCCACTTTTCTTTTTGTAATTGATTTCTAGTTTCATGCCATTGTGGTCAGAAAAGATGCTTGATATGATTTTAGTCTTTTTTAACTTACTGAGACTTGTTTTGCAGCCCAACATGTGATGTATCCTGAAAAATGTTCTATGTGTTCTTAAAAAGAATGTGTATTCTTCTGCTTTCAGATGGAGTGTTGTGTACACATTAAGTCCATTAGGTCTACTGTGTTGTTCAAGGCTAATGTTTCCTTACTGATTTTCTCCCTAGATGATCATTCTATTGTTTGGAGTGTTAAAGTCCCCTACTATTGCTGTATTACCATGAATTTCTCCCTTGTCTAGTAACATTTCTTTTATGTATTTAGGAGTTCCTATATTTGGCACATAGATATTTACAAGTGTTATGCCCCCTTGTTGGATTGAACATATCATAACGTAATGCCCCGTTCTGTCTCTTGTTACATCCTTTCTTTTAAAGTCTATTTTGTCTGATGTAAGTATTGCTACCACAGATTTCTTTTTGTTTCTATTTGCAAGGAATAGATTTTTCCATCCCTTCACTTTTAGTTTGTCTGTGTCTTTAGATCTGAAGTGAATCTATCATAGCATATATAGAATTCTTGTTTTTTTTTTTTTGGTCTGTTTAGCCACCCTATATCTTTTGATTTAATCTATTTACATTTAAGGTAACCCTTGATAAATATGTACTTCTTACCATTTTATGATTGTTTTCTTTTTCAACCATTTTATGGTTGCTTTTGTAGGTTTTTTTTTTTTTTTTTTTTTCTGTTTCTTTTTCTCTTACTCTCTTCTCATGGAATTTGGCGACATTCCTTAGTGTTATGTTTGTATTTCTTTCTCTTTAATTTTTGTGTATCTGTTATAAGTATTTGGGCTGTGGTTATCACAAAGTTCATATGTAATATCCTAAATGTACATTCTACTTTAAGTTGTTTAGGTTCCAGCATGTTCCTACATGCCTACAGCACTACATTTTTACTCTTCTCCTATTTTTTTGTTTTTGATGTCATAATTTACATGTAAGTATTTTGTGTGTCCTTTGACCAATTATTGTAGGTCTAGATGATTTTACTGTTGTCTTTTAACCTTCATACTACCTGTGTTGATGGTTGAAGCACTACCTTTACTATGTATTCACCTCTACACTGAGATTTTTTTATTATGTTTTGTTTTGTTTTTTAGCTATGGCCTTTTCTTTTATGTTTAAAGAAGTTCCTTTCACATTTCTTAGAAGGCCAGTTTGTTGTTGATGAACTCCTTTTACTCTTGCTTGCCTGGAAAATTCCTTATGCTTCCTTCAATTCTGAGTGATAATCTTGCCAGGGAGATTATTATTGGTTGTCATTGTTTTTCTTTCAGCATTTTGAATATATTGTGCCACTATTTCTGGCCTGTAAATTTTGTGCTGAAAAATCAGCTAATAGTCTTATTGGGGTTTACTCATACATAAATAATTGTTTTCTCTTGCTCCTTTAAGAATCTCTCTTTATCTTTAACTGTAGACACTTGGATTATAATGTGTCTTGGTGTGGGTCTCTTTAGATTCATCTTTTTGGAGATTCTGTGTGATTCCTGGACTCGGATGTCTGCTTCCTTCACCAGTTTAGGGATATTTTTAGCCATTATTTCTGAAAATTGGTTTTCTGTCCCATTTTCTATCTTTTCTCCTTCTGGGACCACTACACAATGAATGTTAGTATGCTTGAGGTCCTAGAGGGCCCTTAAATTATCCTTATATTTTACTTATTTTTAAAGATAGATATATATATTTATTTATTTATTTAAGAGAGAGAAAGAGAGAGCATGAGAAGGGGGAGGGGCAGAGGGAGAGGGCAAGAGAGAACCTCAAGTACACTACAAACTGAGCACAGAGCCTGATGTGGGGCTTGATCTCACAACCCTGAGATCATGACCTGAGTCGAAACCAAGTGTCAGATGCGTAACTGATTGAGCCACCCAAGTGCCCCAACTATCCTCATTTTTTAATTCCTTTTTATTTTTGCTGTCCAGTTTGGATGATTTCCACCAGCTTGTCTTCCAGATTGCTGATCCATTCTGCTGCATTATCTAATGTTCTATTGATTTTCTGTAGTACAGTTTTCATTTCAGTTATGGTAGTCTTCTGTTATGATTGGTTCTTTTTAATATTTTCTGTCCTTGTTGAACTTCTCATGGTATTTATTCATTCTTCTCCTGGGTTTAGTAGACATCCTTACGACCATTACTTTGAACTATTTATCTGGTAAGTCACTTATCTTCATTTCACTTACTTCTTTTCAGGGGGGGATTGTCTTGTTCTTTCTGTCATATTTTTTGACATATTGTTCTGTCTTCTCATTATGCTTCTTTGTGTTTAGATCAGCTAATTCTCCTGGTCTTCAAGGAGGAGCTTTATGTGGAAGGTGTGCTATGGGGCCCAGAATCATAAATTTCCCTGGTCTCCTGCCAGGTGTCCCAGGGGTGTCTTCTGTGTGGCTCATATGCACCCTCCTGTTATGGCTGGAGGTTGTTGTTGGGTTTTTAGTACATAATTGCTTGTGGGGGGGTGCTGTCCCCTGGCACAGATGTCTGCTAGGCCCCACTACAACTGCTATGGGCATGCTGGTGAGTGGAGCTTGACCCTGACCTGTATGGCTGAGGGACCAGGCTATAATTGCTTTAGGGGTGCTAGTGTGCAGTGTTGGCCCTGGTGTGACTAGTTGCAAAGCCCAAGGTGGGTCAGGCTTCTGGTGTGGGTGACTGTGATTGAGTGGAGTTTCCGTTTTCTGCTACTCTCTGGCTCTCCTGGATATGGGTATTCATCTTCCCAGTGCAAGTTCTCTGAGCTTTGGAGCCTTAGACTTCCTTATTCTTCAGGAAAGGCCTCTGCACTTGTGGGTTTCACTGGGGTTACTGGTCCTGACCGGACCACCTCTCCTTGTCTTAACTGTCTCCATGTGACATTTTATTTATATCTTTAGTTTTAAAAATCTGTTCTATTAGTCTTCACTTCATTCTCTGTGATAGTTCTATATGCAATTGTACATTTTAGTGTGTTGATGTGAGGACAGAAGTTCAGGATCTTCCTACTCTGCCATCTTGATCTCCTCTCTAAACATTATGCTTATGGATAAAATTTTGAAAGCTTCCGCCTGAAATCAAGAATGAGACTGACAGCTGATAACATCACCTTTATTTAACAATTTACTAGAAGTCCTATGCAATACAATAAGGGGTAGAAAAGTATAATGATTATAAAAGCATATGTTGATGTTGTTAATATTTGTCTATGACATAATAGTACATCTAGAAAATCCAAAAGAAACTATAGGATATCTAATAGAATTTAAAAAGTGGCTCCTGGGTGGCTCTGTAGGTTAAGTGTCTGACTCTTGATTTTGGCTCAGGTCATGATTTCAGGGTAGTGACATCAAGCCCTGGGTAGAGCTCCATGCTGAGCTTGGAGCCTGCTTAAGATTCTCTCTTTGCCCTCCCCTCATGCTCATACACTCTTTCTCTCTCAAAAAAAAGTGAATATAATAAGTCTATATAAAACCTAATTAAATTTCTATATAGTAGCTACAAGCTGTTAGAAAATTACATATTAAACAATACCATTTAAATAGCATTAAAACCATGAGAAACAAATGGTGATGAAAGATGTGCAAGCCCTCTACTCTGACAACTATAAAATGTTACTAAGAGAAATTTAAGATGAACTGAAATAAAAGTGTTCCTAAAAAGATGCATTATTGTAAAGAGAGTAATGCTCCCCCCATCGACTTAGAGATTTAATGCAATCCCATAAAAATTCCAGCAGGTATTTTTGTGCAAATTGACAGATTCACTCAAAAAATGTATAAAGAAATACAAAAGGCTAAGAATCGCCAAGGCAGTGTCGAAGAGGAAGAAAAAAAAAAAAAAACCCTGGAGAGCTGCATTATCAGTTATCAAGACTTATTAAAAGGGTGTAGTGTTAGTTCATGACAAAGAGACCAATAGGACAAACTAGTCTGGAGACAAACCCATATATGCCATTGCCTAATTTATACCCAAGATGGCAATTCAAGGCAGTGGGGTAAAGAATGGTCTTCTAAGTAAGAGGTGTTATGCAATTGTACCTCCACATGGAAAAAAGAACTCTGAAACTTAAGACCGTTCACAAAACACAACTGCAGGTGGATTGTAGATCATAACAAGCCAGAGATGGGCACCCAGGATCAGTTATAGGAGATGAGTAGGTATGGATGAAAGGAAGCCCATCAGTAAAGTACTAAAAAGTGAGCAAATGGCATGATAGGGGTCAGCACACAAGGTGTACATTGTATAGGACTTTGAATTGTGAAGGACATTGTAGTGTAGGAATTGGGAACTAAGCATATTTAAAGTACCATGGGAGGAGCCAAGAAAGAGATAGACATTGAAAGTAAATAAACAGGGATGTGTTTGATGAAGTAAAAGCTGACAGTCTCTGAGAAAACAGAACTGCAAAACAGGGAATAAAAAGAAATGTTTGGTTCTAAATTACTCTCATTTAAGAAAAGAGCAATATTCAGTGTTAATTATGTGCAAGTGATATCTTTTATGGTATGTGACATTATTAATTTTTTTAGGTGGTTTGAGCCTTTTGTCATGCAGTGGCTAGATGAAAATGAAGATGTGTCAATGGAGTTCCTTCATGGAGCACTAGGAAGAGACAAAAAAGATGGAGTGAGTTTAAATTACTTTAAGACTGCTTATTGTCAAGATTCATTCACGTGACTCGTTTTTAAGATAATGGGAATTGTTAGGCTCGTTGTTATTATTTAAGGTTTATTTTAATCCTCTAATGACCAAAATAAATGTGAAACACAACTATAAAGGGCTGGTAGGTACCTTAGGGAATTGTTTAAATTAAAAAAAGAAAATCAATCCCCCTTTTGCTCCACGATTCCTTTACCTCCTGAATTGCAGTCTAAAACTTCAGTAGGGTCATACAAACTTGCTTGTCCTGAAACCTTTCCAGGATTTTAAGACTGGGAGCAGACACCCTCCAAACCCCTCTGGAACAACTTAAGTGTTGAGCCACAATATCTTTCTAAACTGTTCTCATATCTATGGGGAACGAGAAAGAAAAAGAAACAGTCCCTCAGTGTCACAATGGAGAAACCAATTAATAGCAGCCTGCCCCGTGATACGAGTTCTAATACATTTTCCAGAAAAGGACATGAATGATTTTCAAATGGGTAAGCATCTTATTAAATAGGAAAAGAAGGCACGTGAAATGAAGGTACATGATACAGGAGGCCGAGTTATTCATGTGAAATGATTCTCCTCTTGCCACACTCCCTCTAATGTGCTTATTGGGATGGTCTCATCTGGTTTCCTCTTCTCTCCCCTCAGTTCCAGCAGACATCGGATCATGCCCTCTTCTCTTGTTCTGTGGTTGATGTCTTTGCCCAGCTTAATCAGAGCTTTGAGATTATTAAGAAACTGGAATGCCCTAATCCTGAAGCATTATCTCACTTAATGAGAAGATTTGCGAAGGTAGGTTAAAGGGAACGAATGCTTTCTTTTCTGAGACTGCGGGACTATAGCTGATGGAATTGTACCATTGGACATTTAGGTCCTCCTTCTAAGGAGTCTGGAGGAACAAGCAAAGTGGAAACATCTTCAGTAGAAAACTGGGATCCTTGTATCAGAATATTGAAATCACATAATTTAAAAAAATCAAAAGGCTGAAAAGAAAATGAGAAGCCAATGAAGGCCTTTAGGTACATAAGCTATCAGCCTAAACCGTGTTATATTATTTAGTTACCATCAAGTAACCATCAAGTATTGAACTCTAGTCTTTATATGTTAATTAGATAGACAAAAGTAACCTCCTGCTTTTAAAGATAATAGGTAAAAATTCTTTACTTTGATCCTTTCCAAAGGGGACTTTCTTGGTAGCCACTGATTTCAATTTCCCAGTGTGGTAAAACCTGCAAGTAAGCTCTGCAGGAGGATTATTCTGGGGGGGGGGGGGAAATCTCGTCTTTTCTTGACAAGCAGCCGCATTTTGGGTGACTGCCAAGAGAAGAATGAAATGGGGTCATTAGGCATACTGTTGAAAAAAGTGTGTCACATACTATTCTTGTAACTCTGTGGGACTCATGGAAGCAGGGTCATATGGAGAATTTAATAATCTCAGAGTTAATATATTTAGTGACATACTATTAAATGGTGCACAATATTAGAAAGGTAACTAGAATTCACCCTCAGAGTAGTCAGGAAGAAGGTTATGTAAGGTGGAGGTGTGGAAGCAGGGAGAGAGAGCAGGAGGAAAAGGGCTCTGGGGCTTAAGCTGCTGGGCTCCAGACCACCCTCCCCTCCTGGGTACCTTTGACCTTTCTGTAGCTGTGAGGTTGCACGCAGCCACGTGTAAACAAGTGGGTTGCAGGAAAGTGTAAAGAAGTGGGAGGTTACAAAGAGGGTTATTTTAGAATCCACACAGGAAAATGCCTTCTTTGAAGCGAGGAGAAAAGAACTAGGCTCCATGTGTCACTGAGGAAATGTGAGCTTTTATTGGCACAATAAAAAATTTTTTTAGGGGCGCCTGGGTGGCTCAGTGGGTTAAGCCTCTGCATTTGGCTCAGGTCATGATCTCAGGGTCCTGGAATCGAGCCCGCATCGGGCTCTCTGCTCACCAGGGAGCCTGCTTCCTCCTCTCTCTCTCTCTGCCTGCCTCTCTGCCTACTTGTGATCTCTCTCTGTCAAATAAATAAATAAAAATCTTTAAAAAAATTTTTTTAAATACCTAAAATATTCTTAATCTATGTAAATTCAATACTACCAATTATCATCCCATGGAAATAATGTAAGGAAAAAAACCCATTTACTGGGAAAGCAGAAATTGGTAATTTTCATTGAAAGATAAATTCTATTGGAATGATTTTAAAAAATCATAAAAATGAAGATAGGACTTTGTGGTTAATATAATTAGCTATTTCACAGTAACTTCAGACGGTTAGAATTCGTTTTGTTTCATCAGATGGGACCTTTGGTCTTGAAAACCCTATCCTTTTTGGAATTGGGATCCTTGTATCAGAATATTGAAATCATATTCTCTTCCTAGGACTTATATTGATTTAAACTATCTCTTGGAGAAAAGACATAATTAATGATATCTGCAAACAGTTGGGAAAATTTGGCATTGTAAAATGGGGCTTGAAAGGATGGTTTGTCCTTACTAAAGCATATATAAGACTCAATATACCAATCAAATGCTTCACATTTCATAGCTGTGATGAGAGGTGAAGAGTGTACACAGGCCATGGATATTTCTATGGCTTTACTGCTTCTCTCTCTCTCTCATTCTCTTTTTTTTTTTTTTTTTTTGAGTGTTCAGGGACACTGGAGATACAATGCTGAATGAGATGCATGTATTTCTTGTTCTTTGGGAACATAATCCTAATTTTCTAAAGTAATGATGATAATTAATTGAACATTGCTATGTGCTAATAATCTCTTACTTATTCTTCACTACAACCCCGTGACAATGGCACTGTGATTTTTCTTAATTATTCAAATGATGAAATAAGTTTAGAAATTTAAATAACTCAAAGAAGCACCCAACTAGAAATGGCATGGTTCGTGAAATGCTTTTAATCACTAAGCCATACTACCTTCCCAGTCTGGTGTCCAGGAATCAATTGGTGAGTTGGAGAGCAGAATCTCAACATTTCTTTTTATGCTCTGGGCCAAGCCTAGGCAGTTCGGGGGATATTCTACGTTATGCTGCATGTGTTAAAATGCAGTGCTAGAAAGCACCGACGTGACTTTCTAATGTCACTGAACGGATACTATACCTCTTGTCTTCCCTGCATTGCCCTAATACTAAATGCCCCCTGAAAAGATGGATTTTGAACCAGCGTTCTTATTGCAAGAGTCATACCCTAGAGGGACCAACTGGTGGTGTTGACAAGATATTTAGCCCACTTCTAACACATGTCATTAGTTCAGGAAATCCTACTGACTGATTGACAGCTACCCCCCTCAGTGACGGGACTAGCTGCCATCTAATGAGAGCAGAGTGAGGATGGAGATATTTTAGTCCTCCTGCTTGATCTGTAAATTCACAGCATCCCTGGCTTCACCACCATAATCCTGTTAGAATGTCACTATTTAATCTGGAGTTCTTTGAATGACAGTTCCTTTGCTGCACCCATAAAAGAATCATCCATACTTCATGACTCTCTCTCCATGTAAACTCTACTTTCTTTCAGAACATGATGCAAACAGCTTCTGTTAGGCTCTTGCCTCTTGCTCTGTGCTGCCCCATTTCTGAAGCCCAAGAGTCCTACAGAGAGAAGTCATTATTAGCCAAGTCCACGTACTCTGGAAGAAGTTCTGTCTTCCAGGCTTTGCTAGGTACCCCTTCCATCAACAGATTCTCTCTGAAGAGTTAACCTCCACCCTGCTATGCATTCAGTAGGACTGAGATTTTCAAACTTTAGCTTGCATCAGAATCATCTTGGGGGCTTCTTAACACACACCAGAATTGCTGACTCAGTAGACCTGGGAGAGGACCAGAGACCTGGAACTTCCACAAGTTCTAAGTGATGCTTATGAGGCAGCAGGAGATGTGTCTTAGGTCAGTATGTCTCAAGTAACTGCTTACTGGTATTAAAGAAATAACGTCTGAAACGGTTTTATTTTGTTAAATAAATTAGAGTGAAATTGCAGTTGCCCCTAAAATGTGCGTGAGCACTTTCATCAAGCATACAAAGAAATGGATGTTCTCGTTGCCAGTGTATCCACAACTCTCACAGGCACAAGGCCTTACACCATATCCTACATGGCTGAGCTCTTCGCCTTAGCCCACAGCTCATCCCAACTTGCTAACAACCATCAGTGTTTGTAGGTTAGTGAATGTGAGATCCTAGGATCATTTCGTTGGGGAACTGAGCAGACCAGGATTTTCTTGTAGAGTCAGGTGCTGGGCTGTGGGGGATACCTTGACAATAATCAGAAATGAGTGTCTGGATTCTGCTCTCCACACTTTCTCTGGAGCTAGTTAGAATCTCTGAGTCACAACAAGCTCCTCGAGTCTGATTTGTCTTCATTTTTGTTTTTACCACATAATGAAATGTTTCTAAAGAGTTTACACTGTCATTAGAACCTGTACGTTGAAAGCAGTACTCCTATGTATGAGTGAATTGGTACTTCACATGTAAGTTCCAAAGTGAATTTCAGTATTGTGTCTGAAGCCAGATTTGAACAGCTGCATTTGGACGATACTTCAGTCTGATCAGCCATCTGTTTTTCTAGACTTACTGGTCTTCTGCTTCATAAGATTTTATATTTTCCAAGGCCAACTTTCTATTTAAACTGATGCATATTACCATGATTCTTTATACTTCCACAAAATATCAATTTTCTTTCTCCATTTTATCCCTATTTTCAGGTGCTCACTGTGATCTTAAATGTCCATAAAACAAGTTCATAGTTCCGTTTGGTGAATTCAGGCTTGTCGAGTAAGAGATTAAGCTAAAGGAAAGATGTTTAGAGTGTCTCCTGAATTGACCTGAGCCACAAAGAAAATTCAGATGAATATGTCATACAAAAAAGGAAACAGAAGTTTTTTTGTCCTTGGTTTTCTGTGAAAAGATATAATCTTTACTATAGTTAGTGTTGCTTTCTCTCTTCTAAGAAAACCATGTCCGCATTTGGTTTATGATCATTCAAGCTATATAAGTAAAACTGGTAGGCTACAAATTCATCAATGTATCTTGAAGTAATTGAAATAGAATTTAACACGTGTGTTTGTTTTTCCTTATTTTGCATAATTAGTGGAACAGAGGGCATCCTTCAGCTCACAATTAGTTATTAAATGGAGAAGGTAAATGCAAAATTAGGATGAAGAGGACAGAACAAAGGCAAAAATTAGGCAACATTTTTAGGAAATAAAGCACCAATAACTAATTTAGTAAATTAAAGGTAAATGTATTGAAATAGTGTGATACAATAAAAGTCTTCAGAGGTGGTCTTTGATATTAGTAAGGTTCCTTATCATAGAAAATTACTGAAAATATTCATTACTCAGGGACATGTACAGGAATGCTCTGACAACACTTATAATTGTATAAGGTATTTAGGAACATTGTAGAAAGTTGAGAAAATTACCACCACAGTTTTGGCATGCTGTATGTATGTGTGGTAGGGATGAGAGGGGTGTAGGAACTGGAAACCAAGAGGAAGGAGTCAAAGAAAAGTTCGGTTATTAAGGGGGGAAAAAAAGAGCATTAGGGTCCCTAGGTAGTAAGCATCCAAGCATAGAGGAGGCTGCCACAAAATCAGGTCTCTTCTGCGTACTTAGTAAAGTTAGAAATAAAGAATTTCAGGATGGAGCAGATTATGTTAAAATGGAATGAATTAATGAGTTCATGTAGAATATCTTTCACATGTACTCAGAAATATTACAAATTGTCATCTAAGCATGGTAGTTTGAGATCCTTCTTTTGGCAAAGGTATACATTTAATCACTGCATCTATCCCTCTCTTAGCTGAAAAAGACGTGAAAAATTTGCCTGGTTAGCATTAAGCTGGCTAGTGCGTGTATAACTGGACACATTTAACCGGGTACATTTCCTGCTTTTCCTCTAGACTATCAATAAAGTACTGCTTCAGTATGCTGCGATCCTATCAAGTGACTTCAGTTCATATTGTGATAAGGAAAATGTGGTAAGTAAACCTGTGTCTGCTTTCACTTATTCCTCAATTGAGATCCATTTTTTAAAAAACAAATGAGTAAGCAAGAGATTTTCTTTCTTTCTTTCTGTTTTCAAGGGTAATAGGGAATAGGGATCTCAAGAAATTGTTTGAATACTTCTCTGGGAATCCCAATCTGGCTACAGGACAGAAATCAGGGGAAGGTTGAGAGCATCTCAATGCCAAGCCAACTTGTGGTTTTCCATGACAATAGGGAGAAGACTCACATAAACAATTAAAAACCCACATAATCATAAAACACTGAAGCAGAGAACTAGGAATTAAAAACTTGTTTATGTTGATACCAGTCACATAGTTTGGACACTGGTACAATTTAATTGAGTACAATTTTTCTTTCAGCTTTTAAATAAATTGAGAAAGATAGTTTGTGTAAGAAGTAATGCTGGTTTCTCCTCTAAATCATTAACTTAGACTTTTCTTTTCTAGATGATTAAGAAAATCTTGGAACACTGGAAAAATAAAATTAAATTAAAAAAATGAAAGAAAATCTTTATAAAATTGCAACCAGCACTACAACTTAATAAAAGACACCAAGAGATAAACTAAAGCAAGATAAACTGAAGCGATATGGAGTATAATCAGTGGTAGTCTGTGGTGGAAGGTGAAATCTTTCCTATTCACCAAATGTCATTTTAGGAGAATTATATTGGTAACATTATAGAAATAGTTTTAAAACACAAAAAAAAATTTTTAAAGAGGATTTTTAAAGAGGAAAATCAGTTTTGTTTTGTTTTTTAAAAACAGGATTTTAAAGGAGGAATATCAGTTTTCCTCCTCAAAAAATTAGTTCCCACTATCAGGCAAGTCTAAAGAGAATTCTCGGTGAAACCTCATTGACCTCTCACTGACAGCTCATTAATATAAGTCAGTCTTAATGGTTCTCAAAGGTCCCAGAGATGCTTTTTTCTCTAAAATTAATACGTTGCCCAGAAATTTTATTAAAACTCGCAGATATCTCAGCGGTGATTTCTAACTGCCATTGGTTTATACTCTAATAGACAAGACAGGATATTTATTTACTGAAACTGTATATTTGCAATTAAATTCATAATACATTTGAAAAGTAATATGTTGAAAATTGAAACAGTGCCAGATAATTTCAGGAAAAATTCTGATTATATCAGGATAGCCAACTTGAAAAATTTAAAAGGTAGCTATGAATTACCAGGAATAGTTCTTGTCATTCAGAAAAGAAAAACAACCTTAAAGACAGCAGACTTTTTGCTGTATTATGAGTTAACATTCTGTAGTTTATTTTTTAAAACATCGGAGAAAAATCATATATCAATGTTTATTATTCTTTGTATTTTTCTGTATATTTTATACTTTTAAGATCAAGTATTTATAAAGAAAGAAAACACCCTTGCAAATATTACAACACAGGAACTTTTCCTCAGTGCTTTTCTTTCCTAGTTCCTGATATCTTAATGAGTCCTAGACTCTCATTCAAATGCCAAGCATCATTTCAGTGTCTCCATGAAAGAACAGCAACAGCTTAGTGTATGCTTTCAGCTGAGATAAATTGAAGAAATTCTCTTGTAGATTTGTGCATGTACATATAACTATTTCTTTCAGTATCAAGAACATTAAAGTTATTTTTTCTCAGTATATTTATGGTCATATGCCTATAACATCTGCAAATTGATCTAGAAACTTTTTTTTTAAATATTTTTTATTTATTTATTTATTTGACAGAGATCACAAGTAGGCAGAGAGGCAGACAGAGAGAGAGAGAGAGAGAGAGAGAGAGAGAGGGAAGCAGTCTCTTGGCTGAGCAGAGAGCCCGATGCGGAACTCGATCCCAGGACCCTGAGATCATGACCTGAGCCGAAGGCAGCAGCTTAACCCACTGAGCCACCCAGGCGCCCTGATCTAGAAACTTTTAAAGAGAGCTATCCCCCTAACATTTGCTTTCCCAGGGTTCAGAATTAAAGATGACAGTTAGAATGTCTGTAACAGAATATATATTTTCTCTAGCTGTGATGTTTCACCTTGAAACATCACATTTCACCTTTTTTAATCCATTTTCTCATACTCCAAAAACAGCACTGCAACACATATAAATCAGAATTATTTGATTTTGAATATTTAAAAAAAAACCTTTTTCAACTCAGAAACATACTTTGGTCGTAGAGAAATGGCCCTAGTCCCAACACAAATTTCATATTCATTGTAGTTTAGGTTCCTAACTTTGTTCCAGATTTAGATCAGATGAAAGGCATTATGATATTTTTATGGGAAAAGCCAAACTGTATACAAATAAAAAGATGACAACTTCAACATAGGTTATTTTATCTAATTAAACTCATCAACAAATGATATTTCTGAGTTGTTACTGTTCTCTTTACTGTGTGTGTTTTCTGTTTTGTTTTCGGTACCTACAGAGGTGCTTAAAATAAAAGCTGTTTCCAGATTAGGTTTAAGGTAGATTTGTGGAATTCAGTCCTCAGTAGGGAAATCTTAATGAAAAAAAAGAGTCTCATATTTATTTTTGTCTCTCTAGATGACTGCATCTTTTTAATATATGTAGCCTTACCTGGGGTTAATCTCAATCCATGCATATTATTTATTATGTTTCTTGGTTGCTCTTTTCCTTAGTCATATTAAGTGAGCCTGTAGTTCATTTTGTTTCTTAGTTATTCTTTTCCATTGGAAATAGTCATATTAAAAAGACTTGGAGATTGGTTTTTATTTATACAACCAGGGTGCTAAAGTACTAAAGTACTGTTTTTGGTACTAAAGTACTGTTGCATGTGCCAAAAAAGATAAACTTAATATCATAGAAGAGTCTTCCTAGCTAACTTAGATCCATGGGGAGCAGAGTGATACAACATTTACCCATGCACTCTTCCTGCTTCTCATTAAGAGTCATGGTCTTTCTTTGACCTTCATTTTCTCTTTGTCAAATTCAAGCCAAATCTTCCCCTTCTGCAATGAAAGGGAAGAAAAAAGACAAAGAAAAAAAGAGAGAGTGAGAGAGAGAGAGAGAGAGAGAGAGAGAGAGAAAGAAAGAAACAAAGAAAGAAACAAAGAAAGAAAGAAAATCCCAATGCCCCCATCCCCTAGTGGGGGTTCACTTTGCCTTTGGGTCAGGATGCTGAATCCCTGAAAGTTGTGGTCATGCATATTGAGGAAAGCTTAAGCCTAGAGCAAGTGGCTCTCAGTCATAGCTGGGGACCAGAGTTATTTGTGGAATATTGTGGTTCAGCTTACTGAACAGAATCTATGGCAGATAAATCTTAGATATCCGTGTTAGAGAAATAAAATATTTATATGACCGGAATCAAAGGAACAGAATCAAAGTTTAAAATTGTTTTCATAAATCGAAGTGAGGATGTGGTCATTTTAAGAATCAAGTAGAAAGTTTTTCAAAGGTCAGTAATGTGGTTGAAGCAATAATAAAAGCTTTCCACCGATGTGTGCTAACACCTCCCTGTTGTCCTTTAAGTCCTCTCTACGCCTCTCTAATTCCTTATTGGCTCATTTCCCAGAAACTTGGAAGATATATCCATTTTCTTTTCTTTCATTCTTTTCCTCCCCCAAATCAACTGGCTTTTTGAATCAGAATGCAAGAAATATTAAATTATTCTATAACTATTCTCAATTCCATTTTCCAGTGATAAATTAATTCCCATTATTCTAAGTCCGTATGTAGTCCTGTCACAAAGCTTTCCACCTGCATGTTATTGTTCTATTTCCACCTTTTTGGAAACACAGCATCAAACAACATTTTTAAACATGTATTCTGTGGAAAGCTCTGTGAGGCTCTCGGATTAAGAAAAAGCAGAAGACACAGCAGCATGCATGTTACATTTAAGGTCAGTGGGTGAGACAGTGAAAAGCAATATAAATGTAAAGTCAAATAAAACAAATGTCAAGTGAGTGACAAAGGGATATAGTCTGGGAAAGAGAAAGCTCAAACCTGGAATGATGGATGTGATTCAGATAGACACTGAGGTTCAGGTGAAGAGGCCACATGCCAAGCCAGGTCAGAGTCTAGAAAGCACAGGTGTTTTGGGGGGAATAAGCTGCTTAAAGGGGGAAGTTACTCATATTTCAGTAGACAGAGATGGGAAGGAAAAACTAGTTTGGAGCCAGATAATTAATGGCCTTGAGTACTAATGTGCTGGCTTTATCTATAGCCAAGAGTCTATTATATGTGTTTTTTTTTTTTTTTTTCCCTCCCCTGGATTTCTAAAATTCAGATGGTGTTTTGGTTTTTTAAATGGTGAGATATTGGCAAAATTAAACTATTAACTTTTTCTTAAAGTAAGTAAATCTCTAAAAACAGAATTCGGCTCAATGTTAATAATAAAAGAAATAGTAGTAGTAAGTCCCCCATGGTTTATTATCTGGGGTATATTATTGAATTGCATTCCCCAAAATGGTAAGATTTCCCCCTTCCATTCTTAACTTTTAAAAAGTAAAATGAAAATAGAAGGATTATTGCCAAATATAATAGGACATCAGTGATAGTTGTATACTTAAATCACTTATTCAATAATTTATTGTATGAAGGATTCTCACACCACTTTTTTTTTTTTGCTTTATTTATAGCCCTGTATATTGATGAACAATATTCAGCAACTGCGGGTCCAGCTGGAAAAAATGTTTGAATCCATGGGAGGGAAAGAGGTGGGTATATTTTTATGCCTGTATTTGCCAAATATCTACTTAGAGACCATCAGCAGCATATCTCTTTGCTATGGAAAGTGTCAGTCAAGTTTTTTACATGGGTTAACTAAAGAACAGGATATGATAATACTCTAAAACACCATTAACAACTGAAGTGATCATTAACCACAACAGAATACTGAAAGTAAATGCTTTAGAAGTGTGAATGGCAGGAGGGAGATGGCCAGTAGTCCTCTGTAGTGTGTATGTATACATGTAGTTGTATGTACACAAATATGGACATATATGCTAATGATCTGTACTTTCTACAAACTACAGATTTTTTTTTCAACGTATTGCGCAATGTCAAGTTGGTATCAGACTTTTTGTTCTGAGATGTGCTTTGTGGTGCTAGCAATTTTTGATGTATCAGTGGTTTATTGTTCACATCTAAAAGTCTCTGTCAAAATGTGCTGTGTGTTGTGTCTTTGTCCAACATCTTTGACTTGCCATTCCCTGAGCAGAAGAAGGAAGGAGAAAGATTCTTTTATGAGGTTTGTGATAGTAAGCATCTTATCCTTTACCTGGCTGTTTCCCCCAAACCTAAAGACCATTGCACCTCTGATTTGTTCTCATTTGCTTGTTTGGATCAGGCAGACAGTGAAATGTTAGCTATGCACCTGCCTCCTGCTGTTGCCACAGTCTTTCACGAACCGCCACGAGCGTCCAGGGACTTGGGGACTGGAGTTGGTGCCAAGAGGGAAGGTCATGGGGTTGGCATTCTCCCACCCCTCCCCCTCCCTAAAACAACCCCAAGGGCAGCTAGAATGTAGAAATATTTCTGTTTCAGATTTCAATTACAGTGTTTCTTATTGTGATAAGTGTACAACATGTATGTGAAGCGAGGTTGGATTTCAAAGCAAAGATTCCTTTTCCTTCTAAATTTACAAGGCTGAAAATGCTTCTTTTAAGAGCGGGTTTCTTCAAGTGTGATGTTGCCGTTAATCCCAAGGAACCATTTGTCCATTTTCCTCTCTTAGAGCCTCAGTCTTTTGAAACTGAACTTGCCATTTAGGGCGCTACAAATGAGAAGCACTAGGATCTGTGTGTGAAGAAGGTACAGAACTTCAAAAATGAACTTTCATGGGTTATGCTTCCGCTTCAGTGTCTGTTTATTTTGTATAAAATACGGCTCCATTTCCTCACAGTGTGTTAGTGGTTTCTGCAGTGTAAGGACATGAGCCTCATTTTTAAATTCTTTTGCTGACTTAGGTGAGCACAAACAACTGGGGATCATAGTTAGAGAGCCCCTTTTTAATTGGAGTGATGTTTTATATTCAGACTTTAAGTCCACTTACTGTTTGAAGAGCCATGAAGAGATCAGTGATTTCTTATGGGAAATTCTGCCTCCTTTTACTGAATTTTAAAAACCATAAACTGTGGAAGGATAAAGTTATATTAAAAACGCCACATTTCCAGAAATTTCTCCTAATGCTACTTCTGCTTCCTTACTCTTATATTGTTGGACTCTAATGTGACCAATACCCAGTTGAGCTGAGTATTAACAAGACAAAGCAAACCTGTCCTCACAGGAAGCTGTGTGGGCCACGCTACTCACTAACCAAAAATGTTGTGGGGCAGCTTGTTCACCAAACAAGAATGGATACTTTACCTTGCATAAAATCGCCAGTTGGCAGTGTGTGGGTTTCACATGAAAAATTTAGCTACAACTCTATAGCTAAATCATAGGACTCTTCTTACTGGAGAAAGTAATGAAGAAAGAAATCCTGGGGTTCGTGTCTTCTACCTCATGACTCTTGCAAGGTCAGTTGCTAAATTCCTCATACATAATTTAAAGGGAAAATGCAATTCAGTGAATGAAATAATTGTCCAGTTTCTAACACTGTAATTTGTTAGGGGGCAGCATGGACCCTAGCTCCTTTCTTTTCCTGCATTTAAATCTTATACATTCCTTCCCTTCTTCTCTCGATCATCTTTTGATGTTCTGTCTCCTTTTTACACACAGTTTCTTTTATCTTATTGTTTTCTACTTTCACCTCATCATCTGTTACCGGAAAAAAGCTCTCGGCAGGCCCAGTCAGCACTGGCATGGGGACTGGTGAAATGTCAGGAGGAAGCAAGACCTGAACTCAAGTCTGGGTGTCACATTGAACCTCCCAAGAGAAAGAACCGTGATTGACACAGATTTAAGTTAGAGTTGCTCGTTGCTATACTCGACCTCCTCAGGGCACCAGAATCTCAAAATAACAGTTACCTGTAGATGGCAGGATGGACATGAGTTGCTTAACTGGGGGCTTTTATAAGGATGGAAAAGGATTTTATCGAGAATGACACAACTGACCCTTTGATATGAGAGGTTTATATGGAACTTAATGTGGCCATGCTCCGTGGCCTTGAGAGGGAGCTCAGTGTGTCCTGATGCCGGTTCTCTCACCCTGGATGGAACTCCTTATAAAACCTTGACTGGTGTTGTGGGGGGAAGCTTCCCTGCCTCCTTCTTCTCCTTTTAGGAGTTTCTTAGCTTTTGTCCCCTACCACTTGTGCTAGGATGTGCACTTCTTGCTGCAAAAGTCTAATTAGCAAATGATTAATTGCTTACGTACTTGCTCAGTATCGTTTTGGATGCCACGTGTTTCTCCGCTGGCCCCTAACAGCAGCATGGCTCGCCTCTCCCACCCCTGCCAAGTGCTCACCCCTCACAGGCCCGGTTGCTTGATGCTGTAGCTCTCTGCCGTTTGAACCTCCACTGTTGGGGTAGCTCTTCTCTCCTAATAGGATCAGTCTCTCTTCCCTCTGGAAACAAATATGTTGAAAACCTTTTTTTTTTTTTTTTTTTCTTAAGGTGAGAAAAACAAACAAACAAACAAAACAAAAACTTCTTTTTCTGGAGTCCAAGTTGGCCTAACTCTCTGAGTCTATGGGTGAGGTTGTTTCCTGTCGGGGGCTCCCCAGGCAGTCCTAACCAGATCCTATTACCACCTGCATGCATGATATCCTGGACGTCATGTGGGCACATTTTTCTTTTTTTTATCTAGCACCCTACTTGAAAAGAGAAAAGCAAACTACTGAATTTCTTTTCCTCTATTGTGACTTTCCCACACACTTCCTTGTGTAAAAATGAGGAGCATATTTTGGCATGACAACTCTGATCACTGTAAACAATATAAAGAACATAATAAGTCACATGGGCCATGAAGCGAATATAATCTTAGAAATGAGGCCTGGAGTCTATTGGGTGTGTGTATGTGTGTGTGTGTTTCTTTAATAAGGCATCTCATGTGATTTTCATGTGCATATTGTTTTGGGACACATTAACTAAACCAGATGAAGTAGCCAAGCCCCAGTATTGTGCTGGAAGTTAAATTATGTGCCCCACAATCACCCTGCTGCACTATCAGTCCTTTTAAGACATAGTAATGGCAAAAATATTGTTGGGATGCCAGGTAATAATTTTCATTACTGGTGAATGATCATTTTATCATTCTCACATAGCTCAAATACCTCAAAAGTAAAAGGGATGTACTTTGGTTTACGTTATTTTAATAGCTTATTAAACTCAGTATAACTTAGTATAATTCAGTGTAGAGCAACTGCAAATAAATATACAACCTGTATTCATTTTTTCTTAAAAATATATTGTTACAGCCTATGAAAAGGACTCTGTTGCATTTACTTGATCTGCAATCTAATTTGTATAAGTACATGAAAAAGAAAATCAGATATTCCAAAATTTAATTTCATTTCAGGAAGTCGTAAGTATTTGTTATAGAGCTCTGGAGAACTTGTAATTGATTTAGAAGAATTATGACCATGCTCTGTAAGCGGAAGAGGCATTACTCCTTCACAATATTGTATTGGCACAATCATCTGAACGATAGAATTCATAATTATCCATAACCCTGCTAACTTCCTGACAGTATTTCATATGCTAGAAGTTAGTCATCATTAAGACATTTAGGGGAAATAAGGGCATTTGTTCACTTACCAAATTCTCTTAATTCTGTTGGCCACAAAGCAAACTAATTAGGCACAGTGGCAATATTATTTTCATTGCTGTGTCTCAAAAACATAATTGAATTTCTTGATGCATTTCACCGTGATAAACTTTCCTGAACAGGGCCATGGAATCTGGAACATAACACCACCTATCCTAAACATGTGTATATTTTCATGAGCAATTTAACTACTCTTTTGTTTCAAAAAAGCATTGTCTATATCCTTTTTCATTTTTTTAATGTTGAATTTGAAGAGTTAGAAACTGCATCTGATCCAAAAGTGTATGCATGTACCTGATTGAAATTCATTGTAAAACCTATTAGCTGTAAGGACTTAGTCTTCAGCTAAGCAAATCCCCACTGGAGAGGACAGAAATGAACCCCTATCATATTTTTATGAGCATTATCCTGTTAACTTTATACTTGCTGGCAACAGGGGGATTGAAAGAGCACTGTTTTAAAGGAAATAATACTTTACGCTGATAGTTCGTGAACTTCAGTATACATCAGAACTGCCTGGGTTGCTGATTAAAACACACATTGCTGGGGCGCCTGGGTGGCTCAGTGGGTTAAGCCTCTGCCTTCGGCTCGGGTCATGATCTCAGGGTCCTGGGATCGAGCCCCACATCAAGCCCCACATCGGGCTCTCTGCTCGGCGGGAGCCTGCTTCCCCCTCTTCCATTCCCCCTGTTTGTACTCCCTCTCTCGCTGTGTCTCTTGCTGTCAAAATCTTAAAAAAACAACAACAACAAAAAAAAAAAACAAAAAAAAAACACACAGTGCTGAGTTCCATCCCTGGACTTTTTGATTCTGTAGTTTGGGTGGGGCCTGATAATGTACTTTCCTAACAAATTCCCAGCTGATGCCGATCTACTGCTCAGGGGACCACATTTTGAGAATTACCTCTCTTTGCTTTCAGAACAGCTACCCAGTAATTAGGAAATGGCTCTGAGTGCCCCTTTGCCTAATATGGGCAACATATTTGACTGATCTACTTAATGTTTT